TTGAACTTTCTTCCATCATTGCGAATCCAATTAAGTACGCATTTAGAATCAGTCCAGAAGAAAGTTTGATGAATCGGAATTTCTAATTCTTCAAGAAGCGTACTCGCTAGACGACTAGCTAACACACTTGCTTGTAGCTCAAGACGAGGGATCGAGAGGGGTTTGAGAGGACTTACCCTAGATTTGGCTGTGACTAGGGAGACATCTATTTTGCTGCAACTGATTACTCTAAGATATGCAACTACTGAGTAGGCTTTTTCGCTACTATCGCAGAAAACATGTAGTTCAATTTTCTTAGCTACCGGTATGTATTTTGAGTAACATCTCGGGATGGTAATTTTCGTTATTTCTTTAAGGTCTTGGACCCATTTTATCCAAAACCCTTTCAGATTTTCAGGTATTTCCTCATCCCAGCCACTTCCGCAACGCCATATATCTTGCATTAATATTTTTCCTCTGATGGTGAAACATGTTATGAGTCCCAGGGGATCAAATAATGCCATGACGGATTTCAAGATATTTCTTTTTGTCGGTTTTTCTTCTATTAGTTTTTTGTTTTCTTTCAATTTAAAGAGAAATGTATCATTATTGGAGTCCCACCACATGCCCAATACTCTATGGAGGTTTTCTTCATCTAGGTTCTTGGAAGTAGATTGTAAATCGGAGGAAAGCAGTTTTCTAATATCTTTACAATTAGTTATCCAATTTACTAAGTCGAATCCGCCAAGTTTCAGTAGCTTTCGTACTTCGTTGATCGTTTGGAGGGCCATTTCGGTAGTGTCTTTCGAATCTAAGTAGTCGTCCACATAGAACTTGGTGGTTATTGCTTTTAAAATCTCGGGATCTTTTGCCATCTTTTGAGCGTTTAAATTTTTTATAAATTGAGCACATACTGGAGAACATGTTGCTCCAAAGGTCATAACTTTCATTTGGTAGATATCTGGACTTTTGTGGCTCTCCAAATCTCGCCAGAGAAATCTTTGTGCACATCTGTCAGCTTTCCTTACTTGAACCTGGTGAAACATTTCACGTATATCCCCGCAGAACGCTATTTTTCTTTGTCTGAATTTCCAGAGGATAGCTACAAGAGGGGATAACAAGTCTGGTCCCGCAAGTAAGTAATCATTTAAACTTTTTCCATCAGACTTTGCAGCCGCATCGAAGACTAGTCTGAGCTTTTTCTTTTTGACATTCACAACCGGAAAATGTGGAAGATACCAAGTAGTAGGCCCTTCAACAGAAGCTTCTTCGGGAGATAGTTTCTCTGCATACCCTTTTTCTATATAACTTTGAATTCTCTTTGAATACTCTTCGCCTATTCTGATGTCTTTCTTACATTTTCTTTCAACACAGTGAAGTCTTTGGAGGGCTGTAGCTTTACTAGCTGGAAGGACTGGATTCTCATCTTTCCATAATAGGCCTATCTCATATCTATCTTCTGTTCGCCTAGCTGTTTGCTTCATTATTTCCAGAGCTCGTTTTTCGTCGGATGTCATAAGGATTTTAGACTTTTCAATTCCAAAATTATCAATGGAAAAACTTTCTTTTAGCATTGTTTCTATTCTATCTTCTGAAAAACTAGACATACTACATACGTGTAATAGACAACTGCTTCTAAGATTGGTATCATTTGCAATGTTTGGACCATGCAAAGCCCAACCCAACTTACATTTTGATGCTACTGGTGCATCTTCAGGCCCGCTACGAACTTGTTCGGTAAGAATCAGGTTGATATTGTCTTGGCCAATCAATAGCATCGGTTTTTCGTTGGAGATGTCTTCTAGTAGGATATCTTTTAGGTGCGGATACTGTATAAGATTGGACAAATCAACCGTTTGTGTGGGCAGAGATACATTTTCTACTGTATGAACGTTTTTTAAAGTATACAATTTAGTCTTTGGCCCATTATTCGAAATCTGCATATCCAAACATTCTGAGTTCTTTTGATTAGATGTTATATCTCCTGTCCATTGAAGGCACAGTTCCTGCTTCTTTCCATAGAGTTTCAGCTTATTAATAATTTTAGAATCAATTAATGTTACTGTAGAAGCTTCATCACAAAGAGCCAATATTCTTAAATTAGCATCTGGTCCATAGAGTTTTACAGGTAACATTCTTAGTAGTACATTTTTTGTGTCATGCTTCGTGGTATATACATTACTCGTACTGTTTGAAGAACACTGTGGGGCATTTTCGTACTGTCTAGCTGTATACTTGTGAAGTAGTGGATGGTGAAGTCGTTTACAGTTGTCAACATCACACGGTTTCTTACTTTTGCATCTAGTCTTTTGATGATTTTTTTTCAGACAACAGAAACATAATTTTTTCTCTGTTATCACCTTCCATCTAGTGTCTACATCGTCAGCCATCATTTTTGGACAGTCTCCCTCATGATTCTTTCCATCACAGTATCTACATTGTATATTATTTTGGGATGTATCGATAGTGCTGAGGACTCTTTCTAGCTTTGTTTTAGGGTATGGAGTTTTGTATCCACTCTTCTCAACAAATTTATCTCCCCCACCGATATAGCTCGCCGCTACTGCCATTCCAGTTACCCACTCGTTAAAGTCTTGTAAATCGACATTACCTCTTTTCATTGTCACTTCTTCTCCCCATTTTAACTTGAGTATGTCAGGAAGTTTTGTCAGAAGATCTTTTAGCAGTTGAGGATTATTCATGTGGCCTACAGACCTAAGTGTTCTCATAGTGGCGACTAGATTATTAACTTCGTTTGAAAATTGTATTAATTTATCTAAATTGTGTTCTTTAATAAAGGGAATGACTTTTATTTTGGAGATCAAAACTTCAATTATTTGGTCTGGCCTACCAAATCGCATTTTTAAGGAATTTATCACCAATTCGACGTTTTCAGCCGTTAGTAACATCCCTGCGACTGACGCTTTTGCTTCGCCTTTTAGACATTTTTGTAATTTTGTCATGATTTCTGCTTGACTATAGTTACCTAGTGAGATAATGTTATTTAGTTGGCAGTAAAAAAGTGGCCATTCCTCTGGTTTTCCATCAAAGTAAGGAAAGTCTTTATCAATGGTTTGTCGTGCAATAAATTTTTCAGTGTTTGCACTTGGATTTGAGCTTAATGCATTTATAAGCGTTTGGCAAAGTACTTTCATATCATTGTCTGGCAGTTCATCGCTATTGCCTATATTAGCGCCTATCTTTTCATTATTCTTCAGCCACTCTGCAATTGTAGAGGCAGAGTTGGCTTTAGGAAGCTCAGGAAATTCAGCATTAGATGTTGTTTTTCTTGAACCTTTTTGACTTTTTTCACTTGAAGCTTTAAGTTCTGCTTCTTGCAGTTCATGTTCTAGATCTAATAATTTCATGTTATTTTCTATTTCGATTTTTTGTCTTTCAAGTTCCTGTTTTTTCTTCTCTTTATCTAGTTCTAGCCTTTTTCTTTGAATACTTATACTAGATGATGAGGAACCTGCTTTGGAATGGACATTTTCTAGTCGTTGGTCGGGTATTGACTGAGTTGTCCTATTTTCTTGTCTGCCAAAATTATCCGGCCAGACGAAATCGGTGGACAAACTTTTGTTAACGCCGGCTCCACTCCTTCTTGGTCTATGCATCAGAATACGTTATAGGTACGTCGGGGTCACCAAAATGTTCTGTTGAGTCTATTTAAAATCAAATTAAGCTCCTTTCTGTAAAACGTATTTTATTTCCCAAAAACTGACATTAATCAAAATCACTCAATTCTATAAAAAAAAATCATTAATCTAGTTAACAACATAAAACAAGTATATAGGCAATAGTCTAGTCGATGACACCTATAAAAAATTTGACACTGTAATAAAATTAAAGGAGGGACAACAGGGAGACACCCTGACGGAACTAAAAAAGATCATTAAAGCCAAGACATAGAGGGGACACAAATTAGACATACACGGACAGCAAAAGTACTGACTTCACAAACCAAAGACAAGCAAGACGAAATTTTCAGACGTACACAAATCTCCACAAAACTGGACATTAAAGACGGGACCAGACATAACGAGCCGACAATCATATTGACAGGTATACGAAAAGCACTCACACATGACGAAATTACGGACGGACTAAAACTTGAGAACGACGACCTTGACAAACTATTCGGAGACAGATTAAAATTATTAACTATAGTATCAACAAGACCATGTAGGAACCCGTACAAGGAAAACGTGTACATACTAGGACCAACGGACATAATCAAACACTTACTAAAATCGGAAAAACTTTACCTAGACTTTCAAACTATTTTTGTTAACGAAGCAACTCAACTTGCACTTTGCTTCAGATGCTACCGCTACGGGCACGTAGCTAAACATT